CTTTCCTCTGTGGGCTTGTTAATCTCCACAGGAACATTTTTAGATGGGAACAAATTTACAGAGGTTGAAGGCCACTGACTAGCTATCTTATGGGCTAGGAGCTAAAGTCAGCCAACATCAAAATGGAAAGAAATTGTGACGTTTTGGTTTGCTTGAAACAGTAAGTGTGATTAACTGTTGGACTGCGTTATAAGTTGCTGTGGCAAATTATCCATATCTGATTTATATAATCTACCCAAAAGATGTGCTTTAATTCACTGCAACTTGCTGTTTTGCATGAGGAAAATTCCACAGCCTTTCCTGTGTAATTGGGTGCATTAGATTATGAAAATAGTTTATTCTGGCCTTAAAAGCAATTAATCCATGTTCAGCTCATTTTTCTCGTGGTCTTTGAGCAAGTTGCATACCACTCTTGGGGAGTGGCAGCGAAGCAAATAAGATGATTTGCTCCATTTCCAGAGGTCTCCAGTTTCCTCCAGTCTTGTGCTTCAGACTGTGTCCATTTGACCCAACTGTGAGTTAGAGCCAGGTTCTGGGGCTTCGGACTCAAACGCATCCAAACATGATTCTAAGGTTATCACTATTTTTCCTGTCATTTTTTATAGACATTCTTGTGCCCTTCCAAGTCTGATGGGCCATCTGATGTTCTTCATGTGGCTGTGTATCTGTCTCAAGTCATCTTTGAATTGCACTTCATTTGGAGAAGACTTATGAAATGCCAATATTTTTGTTGGCACAATGGAGAAATACAAAATTTAAAATAACTGAAATGGCCAAATATTTTAATATGTTTCTTTCATTGAAATTACAAAACCAAAAAGCTTATTGAAGACAAAGTATAGATCAAGACAGCATATGAAGAATCAAAATGAAAGACACTCTGTTTTTATTTCACTGATAAACCATGCAAAACTATTACAGGAAAGACTGTAAAACTCCAGTAAGCGTTCCTGGAGGTTTGTGACTGTGGCAAGGATCTTAAGGCACTGATTTTTTTAATAAATCTGACATGCTTACCACTAGCAAAATTAATGTTAATGGCATATGTTTTGCAGATGTCAAAAAAGAGAGTAAATAGTGTAAGGGAATCATAAATAGCAGTTTTAATTATGCAACTCACTTTTTGATTCTACTTGGGTTTCTTAGGAAGGGAATTTATGTATCTGGGAAAATATTTGGATTGTGGAATGTCACAAAGTTTTTTTTTAGTTTCATTAATTTGGCAAGGCTATGAAATAGACAACTATATCTATGAGCTAAATGGCAGAAATGTGTTTTTTTCTTTAGTTCTAAAAAAGTGGGTGCTGGAGCTGAAGATATAGTGGACCTAATATCTAAAAAGCAATAGCAGCTTTTATGAGGTGACAATAGTATCTGGAAAAATGAAACAAAATACATACCTAGCCTTCTAAAAATATAGATTTGAGGGGGTGCAGCCAAGATCAGATTAATCAAAACATGATCAAACACCCTTTCTTCCAATATACTGTAAGGCAGCACAAGTTATTCTTTGTTGAACCACGACAAGCCAAAACAAAGCTAAAAACAGCAGCACAATCTAAAATAATATAGCTTTTATGGAAGCTGGCAACAAGTATTATGAAAGCAGGGTGTCAGAACACTATGGTGCACTACTCTTCAAGCAAATGTAAAATTATTTTTTTAGAAACTAAAATACTGATGAGTCTTACTTCAATGCATTTTAAGGAGCAACTTAATGAAGAACTGACAGTGGTTGCTCACACAGAATTATACACATAGTAGAGCTCCTCAGGACGTACACTTATGAAATTCTAAGCCCATTTACATAGGTTTGTTTCTAATATACTGGTCCAGTTAATTATGATGTAAAATATTTGAAAAGGACAAAGGTAGAAGGCTGTATTGCTGGATGCCACTATGACTTAAGAGAATGAGGTATAGTCAGACACAACAGTGATGGAGAGTTGAGATAAAAATTATATAGTAATACAATTGTATGTGTTCCAGAAAAAGGTTATTTACAGGCACACATTTTAAGGTCAAAAGGGACCAGTAACGTCAGAAGAAGTCATCTGTTTTGATCTTCTCTGTAAAAACACATATATTTTCTGCCAGTAATTTCTACCTCAAGCCTCAAATTTTTCTAGAGCAGCTCAGGTCATAAAAATTTTTCTTCCATTTTCCAGTAAAGTAAGCATAGAGATATATGATAGTGTGAACAATGACAATCCTTCTGTATTTTTGACTAACATTATCTCCAAAAATGGCAATAGATTCTGCTGCTGCTCTTGTTCACTCTGTAGAGCAACATTTTGTTCCCTTTGTTTTGGATTGCCCTGGAATTTTCTGTTTTGATTGAAATAATGCTGAGAGCCTTGTCTTCCATGAAAAATTTTCTTAGAAGTATTTACCCTGGAGTCTAGCATCCGGGTTGCTTAATTAAGATATAACATAATTATCAGAAATCGTAAGAAAATCACTTTTTAGACTTAGTTCTAGGATGTCACTAGGACTTAGGATGATGCTATATATTGACATTAGGACTTAATGTAGGATGCCAGACTAAAAAGTCTCTTTTGTGATTCTGTTTTTTCTCCCATTCCCCAGGCTCCGCAACCTATCTCTTTATAACTATTTTTTCCATCATTCAGTAGGAGAAATACTTAAATGTGAACCATTTTCATACTGCACTTATATTTTCTTTGATTCACTTGCAAAATCTTCTATTTTCCCCAAATTTTTGCTGAAATTACCACTGTGTTACAGGATTAATATCTGTGGTGCACAGCTGGGGAGTAGGTTTGCAAGTGTACAAGAATGGGCAGACTTGCATCAGCAGGTCACTATTGAAACCCACCCACAAGGGCTGGCAGCAGAGGTTGTCTCCTAAGAAGCTATATTGTTTTCCACTCAGTCAATGTGCCACTAACTAATGGAAGAGAAATGTTGAGAATTATTCATTTTTTTTCTGAAATTTATGAACCAAGTTAATTGTTTTGTTTGCCTGATTTATACATGAATGGATAAAGTACTACTAATATCGCACTTTGAGGAAGAAGTTAATGCCAGAATAGTCAAAAAGTTGCTCATCTGATTGGAATATTTCAATTTTATATGAGGGAACAAAATTAGATTTTTTTTTTTTTAGAATGTGAATATACGTAACTCACTTCAGTTCAAAGTAAGCATGTAACACCAAACTTTGTGCCAATACGTTATCTGTCTCTGCAGTGATCTTCCAAATAGCTGTTTCTGTAAAATAGAAGTGTTTCTCTTTTTATATATTCTCACTATTCTGTCCAAGTCAAATATTGAAATGGACAACATGAAATTAGTGATTATTACTTGGTGCCCAAAATAAAATGTATTTGACATGATGGAAGTGTTTGGGGTGTTTATAAATGTATCATCAATGACAAATATCAGTTACTTGACATAATACCTAATATTTACTTCATTTTCTCCTTATAAGCTCCTTGAGAATGAAAGTGTTTTTTAATTGTTTCTTGCTTGTTTGGACAATAACACCAATCAAGCAGAAGTCACTCCAGAGACAGCATTAGAGCACCAGACTACAGCTAATCCTACAGCTGCTTCCCATAAGGCTTGTACTCAGCCCCGGTACCTCATATAGTTGTGGCCAATTAGGTTCCTGCATGTTGAATATGCCACAAAGAGCAGGACACCTTTTCACTACCCGTCCTACTATTTGCACAGTGAGCCAGCATCACTGAAGGGTATTGTTATGATTCGCTTGTATCGTCTTTTGCTCTGAAAGGCTAGGGTGTCTCCATGCATAAATATCAACAAGCAAACTTTTTAGCATCTTTCTACTTTTTTCTTCCTTTTCTTCTTTCTTTCCTTCCTCTTCATCTAACCTTAGATGTATATGGTAAATTGTCAGTAGGGAAAAGCTTTCCAGTGCAGGCTTATGCTGCATTCCGCACTCTGAAACACAGCTCAGGTGAGAACAGAGTTCTTGGGGTAAGGGATTTTTCTTCCAGAGACATTTACAGGGGCTGCTGTGCTATGAGTGGTAGAACTTTGCTCTGGAGTCCGATATCTGCAATATCTTTGGAAAATCTTCATATCAGGGTGGTTTGTGGGCTGAAAAGCTGCCCAATGTTGCTGCTGGTCTGTTGATTAAGAGACTTACGGCTTAGAATTAGGAAGGGTAATTAGATCCAGAAGCAAGTGTGGATACATCAAAACGTGTACAGCCCTGGAGTGATGCGTTCCTAATACTCGTATCGAGCATAATGGGGTTTGTGTGGCTTTTGTTTTCTTCTTCACTGAGAGTTAGATATAGAGCATGAATTACTGTAAGAAGCTCTTGGTCTGGGAGAAAAAGGTTGTCTCTGGAACAAATATCACACTGAAAACTTTCCAGCCTAAGCCTTTCATTAATTTCTCTGTGTCATCTTAATATATTTAAACTCTGTAAAAAATTATGCTGCAAAAAGTTCTCTCCATGTGTAATTTTTCCTCAAGTGAAGTGCATACCTTTCAAATTATAAACTTCCTACTTGTCTTAGGAAAATCCTCACTGTATAAATAATTGAACTCATCTGCTGTGAACACAAGTATTCTTTCTCTTGCAGTCTAAAATATATGCCTAAATACACATCTTGTACTTAGTGCTTTAAATAGTAATTACTCCTGTGAAGTCACTGGAAGGCCTTAAAAGGATTTGACAGTTTCTCCACAATCTTTCAGTGAATGTAGTAGCTGGGCTGTGCAGTGCTACATCCACTGATAATTCAGCAGCTGAGGAACTCAGCAAAGCCTGCTCCAAACTTCTCAGCTGTTGACAGGCTTGACTTGCTGAGAACACTGGTTAAATATAGCACAAGCGAGCTGAGCTCAACAAAGTCATTGCTGTAACACTGTGTGAAGAGACCAGAAGAGGGGAAATACAATCTGAGAACTAAACTGCCAAAGCCTAACACCACCTAGCAACAGTTGAAAAAACTTTTAAACAAAAGTCTGGGTGAGACACAGACAGAGTATACCTCCTACTTCTCCTGCCTGGGATTTCTGTGAGAAGCAGCTCCGGTCTTCTGGTCTCTACCCTGTTTCCTTCATTACTTCAGCTGCTGGTAGACCTAGAAAAGTGGGAAAAGTTTCTCTCTTTGTGTTCTCCTGGACTGGATCAGTCCACTACTGTGGTAGTGCTGTGGGACGAGCTACTGTGATCTTGCGGTGTAAAGGATATATTCCTAGGTTCGTGTTGCTGACAGGTAAGACTGAGCTAACCACTCCAATGCATTCTTTTAAAAACAAGTGATTTTCTTTTCTAGTGACTGTTGCTTGTTTCCTTCTATGAACAATCTTCTGCATGAAATAGATGAAAGCTGGGATAAAAGTTTTAGATTTTTTTTTACATTTTCATCACAGAAAAACATTGCTCAAATAACTTCTGCAATTCTTAGAACAAGCATAATCAATTAGCTAGTAATAATACGAAAAACTGTGTAACGATTTTGACATGCGTCTTGCTTATATCTGCTTACATGCTGAGAGATGAACCAAAATTAAAGAATAGAATACATACCATCCCTTACTAGTGAAAGTCTAGAGGCTATTAAAAAGTGACAGCCTGTGTGATAAGTAAGAGGAAATAGCCATTCAGTAACTGAATTAACTGAATAATTTGTGAGCCAGCGCATTTGTACTTTTTGTTTCTTTACTAACTTTTAGCACACAGGCACACCTGGTGCCTTAAGTACTACCTTTGTGACAACAGCTCTTGGTTCTTCCTCTTGTACTTGTTTATATAGAACGAATATTAATCTCTACTCAATTGATTAGCTGTATATGCAACCGTCCTAAGACTGACCTTATGTTTATTTTGCACAAGTGTGCCTCAGCTGGGTCATTATTGTTAAAGTGTTTGTTACTATTAGCATAATAAATGAGAAACTGGTTCTTAGATGCTTTATCCGGACAGCAGAATGGAAGCCTGTTAGAAGTGTATATCCTATGGTCCCATAACGGTCATTTAATTTAAAGGAGGAATTGCTTAGTATGACTTGCTTTGTCTAAACTGACAAAAGCTGTTTGGTTAATTGAAGAATGAATCCCCCCACCCTGTCTTCTATAGTCATTTTCTCCAAACAAAAGAAATCTAATATGCATGAATTTTTTAAAGATGTACTGCTTATGAATTCATATGCAATATGAATTCCATTATGAAGGCAAAGATTTAAAGAATGCACTTAACCTGTGCAAAAGCCCTGTTCACAGATTTATGTAGAATTGTCTCAGATGAAAAATATTTCTCCTAAAGAAGGAATGGACTGACTGAGTCTATGCTGACTGTCTGTGGTGTTTGATGCTTAGTCTGTGGACTCTGGGACTGCCTCAGGAAGATGAGAAACTTTAGTGAAATATTTCTAGTTTCATCCCCACATACTATATAAATGACATCAATACCACATCTTAGCAGTGACATGCTTACATATTGGATGAAATTAAAATGCTCTGAAGCAACTTTGACTTGGTGGCTGAGAATGTAACCGCCTGTGAAACAATACAAGAAATGAAGTATTAGGATGGAGGAAAATTCTTAGAAGCAAAAATAATATAGTTTACATTTTATTTCATAGCAAGGGGCATGCTACTTAAGCACTAAAAAGGAATACTTTTTGGTGGCCAGGATTTAATGTGATAATCATTACTGTGGAATTACTGCAGCACTATGGTATCCCAAATCTAAATCTCAAAAGGAAACTTTGGTATTACTTTTTAATATAGACATATCCTGAGAAAGTGATTTTTTTTTTTTTGTAAGAAAGCTGTACAGTCAGAACTAAAACTGAGACAATATGATTTGTACAATTTTTGTCATCTTGACATTAGAGTGAAAATTACTGCTTCTTATTTTGACTGAGTTAAATGGCAAATAAGATACGTGGAGAAATGGAAAATTTGAACTTCTGAATATATAGGGATGACAAAATCTGGGAAAGTGCTGTGCTAATTACTGACTCCTTTGAGGTTTTAGTTGTTGCTCAGCATAATGTATGGTTTTACAATTTTACTTTTCTTGCACAATTTACTTTTAGCAAAATTTTTGAAAGCAAAAGGCAAATTTATTAGCCTCGTAACTATCAAATGAAGTGACTTTTGAATGGTCTGATAGCAACTTCCAACTCTAACACATGGAGCTGTGGTTTTAAATACATCTGTCTTCCTTTCCAATTCAAAATGGAGGAGGCAGCTAAAATTACTTTTCTCAACAGGTGTCCACAAAGAGGCTCTGGGGTTTTCCAATCAAATCTGTGGAATATGTAATGTGGCTATTCAACAGATGGTTTCATATTTGAAGAATAGCCAATTCTACTAATGACTACAGTGAAACCAAGCTCAATTTTATATCAAATCAAAAAGTAATTTAGGTTTTGGTGATATACTCCATTGTAGAGATTTTCTTGGAAGACAAGTAGACATAGCGTACCAATTTATTTTTCCCATTATGTATTATTTTGATTTTGTTTATATTGCCATAACTGTGGAATGAATGGTGCCTTTCATGGTGCTTAAGACTGTGTATTCCTCCCAATCTGAATCCACTTCCAGACTCTGCTTGTGGCTCATTCTTTCACCTTCATTACAGCAATATTATAATTTATGGCCTCTTTTAGCCAATCTAGCCACAGCTAAAGTCATCATCTTAACGGACTGTTTTGTCATCACCTCAGTCTTTCAATCTCTTTATAGAAGAGTTCTTTTTAACACCAAATTCAAAGACTTGAAATTCATCTTCAAAGCTCAGCACTGTTCTGTCGCAGCCTACATCTGCCCTGACTTTCCCATACTCCTCCCACTCATATCTGGTAGACTGTGAACCTTCGACTCTGGTGTTAACTGGTCCATCCTCTACTCTACCGGCTTTAGTAAGCTTGAAATTGACCTAATGACGTACAAGTTTTCTATAGTGCCTCTTACTGTAGCACCTGACACTAATGTCATGGAAAGACTAAGCTTGTCTAGTAACAGAGCTGTGTTCACCAAGGTAGGACTCCTGAAGATGTTGTTTTGCTTCCTGGAAGCAGATTGTGGAGTAAGCACCAAGTATATTGGGAAATCTCTACTTTTGCTAGTATGCCCTCCTGTTCCTTTGGCTCACGATTTCACCGGTGTAGCCATTTCCATACTGAAAGCTTTTTACTGATACAGGTGTATCAGCAAAACTCTTCCTGATACAGGATCTTTCTATTGGCACAAATTCCACACGTTTAATTGAAGACTTATGGTAATCTCATCTGATTTAGTTGATATGCCCCAGGGATAAATTAAGAATATGCCTCAGAGCTGTGCTGAGTCAGAGGCCAGGTTTCTGACACTGAATGTAGAGTGAGATTTCCTTGGAGTTTAGTAAGACCAGGTCTTAGCGTTCAATAATTAACAGATAAATTTCCAGTCCCCTCAAGAGCATTTAACAAAATGGATCATCTGTATTCCTGTCCAAATAATTTTTTCCTAAGAGACATTTTACTTTTTCTCTAATTTCCTGTTTCTCCCCTTCCTTTCTCAAGGTCTGTTGTTGCAGTTTGCCATACGATTTTAATATATAAACTGAATCTGAGGGCAGTCCTTCTACATGTCTAAAATGCCATTGGGAGAAATAGAGTTGTCATATTTGTGAAGAAGCCAAATGAAACAACAAGGCAAAGGAGAAGGAACTCCATCTATTCTTACTTCCTATTTCACCAACAAGATCTGCTATATAAAACCTAAGATAAGAACTGAAAGCTAGAAAGATTAAATAGTCTATGTGATAAAATAATGATAATATGTTGTATAGAGAACATTAAATATTTCTTTACAAGCAGCACAAACACCTATACTTTTCAGCTTCATCACCTTATTCTGGTGCTTTTAATTTTTAGCTATTTCTCTCTTCATTTCTTTCAGTGTTTTCTACTGAAAGTTGTTTCCTAATTTTATACAGCATAGTGGGAATTATTTGGGGAATACATTTTTTTCTTGTATTTGAAAATATTGGATAACTGAGGAAACAATTCTTTAGTAAAGAATAAAGATTTCCTAACCTTTCTTTTTCTTATTTAGCAACTAGTATTTGTGTCAAGTTAGTGACACTAGAAAAATATTTATAACACAGTTCTGTAGTTATTCTTTGAGGTGCTGGTGACCAAAGGAGAGGAACAGTTGTACCTATTTCCTGTTCAGGAGAGACACTGTGAGTCTTTAACCATGTCGAAGATTGTGTGACGCCTAATGTATTTGTGAAAATTGTGCCCTTCTGGATGCTTGAATAGGTTTTTCTTTTTATTTTGAGTCTTTTTACCTACTCCCCCAGCTCCTGCAAATAATCTGCACTTTCTGTATTAATTTTTATTCTTACCATCATAGCAAAATAAGTACTAATATGAATGAAAACAAAAAGTTGGGACAGCTTTTTTTTTTTCTTTTCCTTTTTTAGTTCAAGATGGCTTTGCCTTGTCATTCTCTTTCTGCTTTGACTGGACTATATCTCTAAATCTTTTCCACAAGTAAGGCATGCAAATGCTAACTCTAAAGATGATATGTAAGATTTCATAGATTGTGGTCGCCTCCAAAATAGTTTTCACACTTTGTAAATACAGAGAAAAGACAATTCCTACTATTAAAAGCATATATTCTAAAAGTGCAATTGCATTTTATTTGGAAATAATTCTTCTGTAGGTACACAGCTGCTAAAATACATGATTTATCCTCAGCTATTTAGAGAGCAGTGTTCTGAGGCATCGCTATATGTGGTATTGTAGAACTGAGGAGAAAATTAAGAATTCCAACATCCAGTTCCTTAATTTTGCTGCTCTATGAGAGCTGAAACTTAATCAGAGTATGTGCATGTGTGCGTGCCTTTTGTAAGAAAAGAAATGCTTTTTGGCATTACAGAATGCATTGCTGAAGGAGTGGGACAAACACATCCGAAGTACAGGGAAATAGGCTGGAGCTTGTACTTTTTCCCTTAAATGGGCAACCTATCTAGTTGCTGTTAGCTGACACAAGCAAAGGGGTGTGTGAATCTAAAAGACTGCTGTACATTTTCCGAATGAGTTTCATTTCAAAGCTGATAAAAAGGCAATTAAAATCTTAATTATCTACAATGTCACCAGACTTGGATATAAACCGGTGGGGTTTCAGAACAAGAGCAAAAACCTTGATGAATTTGCAATAAACTTTTTGAGTTTGGTTTACATACTTTAAGAGCTCTTTAATACAGTAAGGG